CCCCCCGGGGCAAAGAAACGGACAGACAGACAGAATCACGATGAACATTTTGCACTCACCTGAGTAAAATTCGAAGTTTCTTCACTATAACACGGGTTCTCAAAGTTAAATTCATTGACTTCTTCGTACCACATATCCGTACACTCCTTCCCGGTCAGTTCATCACCGACCATGCCAGCGAGATTCTCTCCTACCATCTCATCGTTGTTGTGTTTGAGTTCACCAATCTCTGCCAGTTCCTCAGCCCATTGCTGCGCGGCCCAAGCGAGTGAGGGGGACCAGTGAAGAGGCGGGGCACCGTGAAGGACACGGAATTCGTTGTGAGCAAAGAGACATTCTTCCTGAAACTTCCGAAGACCTAGACACAAAAATAACATCTTTATCAAAATTTAAAATCACAGATAGGAGGGGTGTAGGGGCGCGCCTTATTGTAAGCCATGTTTAAATCCCCCGATGTCAGAATAGTGATACACATAAGTCCAAAATGGCGCACATGAAAACGAGGCATCCAGGGCAAAATGCAAAGAAATATAATTGTGTCAATTCGAAGTATACACTTGTTTACTTGTTCTGTCTTCCTTTTCTTCCTACATTCAGGAACGCGACAATTTTGCAGCATCAAATTATAAGAAAATACTAGTGTAAATTTGTAAATTTGGCTCTTGCTGCCGCTTCGTTCTCAACCGGCCCTGCGCCATATTGGATTTAGGTGTATAGTTGCCCTAACGTCTACCCTAGTAATAACTTAGTTTTGTGGCTCTTTTTTCATTTATAGTGAAGACGCTATTTTACCGCAAACGGCTTCCAACACATGTACCTAAGTAATTCTACTTGTCATCGATCGATGTCCACAGTAATGTGTAGACGCTTATAAATTAGGTCAAAGGGTGCGTCAATTTTAGTAAGTATTAGATTATCGAACAACAGATGTGATTCAAAGAAATAAAAATATCTAACAGGGTCACGCGCCAATCAGCATCAAGACCTCTAGACATCTTGTTATTTTTTTTTTTAATATTTGATATTTTAAAACTTTTGGACAGGAGCATTATCAATTTAGTCTTAAGTCTTAAACGCCAGTTTTATTCCATGTGAAAATCTAGTTAAAGACTGATTTGTAACAGGGTATTTTAAAGCTTTTAACTTCATTTATTATTAATTATTATTGCATTCTTTCTTGTTTGTGGGAGTGTGGGGAAGAGGGGAGGTACAGTGGTTAATCGCTATGCTTTGCAAATATAGTACTTTGTTTCGTTGGTAAAAAAGCGACGCCATACCTTCCCCTGCTTGATTAAAAACAACGAAATCTTAACTACGCCAAGAAATATTAAAGTATTTAGTACTTTATCTGAAAACGACTTCCAGTCAGACCAAGAAAATGATGGAGTACCCTAGTTGTAATATCGGGAGTCTTGACTGTAGAGGCTTTCTTTTTTAAAGGATCTAGTTAGTAAAACACGAAAAGAGACAGGTTGTTGGAGCCGAAGGAGAAAGCATACGCGATGGATCGTTCCAAGAGCGAAAGGATTTATGGGCATAAATCTAAACACGAGTTATCGAGGCGGTTAAAATGGCCTTGCCCACTACAATAAAGCAACACTGAATATCTCAACACTAACGTCCGTGTTTCTGATGAGAATAATTCATTAGAAACACCAGTCATTTCAGATATTGGAATAATCTCCTAGAGTGCAAACCATATATCTATGAAATAACGCAAAATTAACTATTTCTTTTGTTTTCAATTGTTTCATTGGTATGCTATTTTGTACTAATTGATGGTTTTCACGGCGGCCATGTTGGAGGAACTAAACAAAAGATTTGTCAATGAATTCTTTTGTTATATCCTCCAACATGGCCGCCGTGTCTTTTGTTATTTAATTCTCTTGGCAATGGTTGAAAACCATCAATTAGTAAGTACTTTTTCATGGATATATAGTTTGCACTCTATCACTTATTGCCCATCTACTTTAGCTCAGACAACCTTTTCTAAGTAGGTGTATAGAAAGAAAGACAAGAGAGGTGGCAAGTACATGCATGAAACTGTGGGTGTAATGTTCATCCCCTTTCAAACCTCTTTGACACAAGCAGTTTCTTTGAATGTCATTAATATTGTATCTTCTTGAGCGCTAAGGCGACTAATACTAAAGAACAGTAATACTAAAGAAAAGCACTTTCATCGCTTTTGGAATCGAAGAAAAACCTGATCTTCAAGAGGCGTTGTCGGAAAAATTGAAGAAGTCTGCAAACGTGGTAAAATCTAATCTATGAGTTTAGACTTGATATATGTGCAAAGGAACAAAAAATTATAATAAAATATCGCTTGTTGTTTGATCACACATTTATGGTTTTTGTTAAGAAAGATATATAATTTGAATGGGGACAAGCATTGTGGTTAATCTGCGTACTTTAATGAAGTTCAATGGAAAACTATATTATTTACTAGTTTTTGGGGAATTGGTATTTTTAACCGCACACCGAATACTGTAGAGCGACAGCGCGTCTCCTTTGACGGATCTTACATTCTATCTACAACTTTCACTTATTCTTACTTCCAATGATCTTTTCTTTATTTATTATGCTGTATTATTTTCGCTCCAACATTTCTATTGCTATCACATTTTACTTGCCTATGCTTTTCTATTCTTTATACATTTCTATTTTTTTCACTATTGCAATTCATTTGTTCAGTATCTATTCTGATCATGGCAATATTTACATTAAGCATATTTATTTTGATGCGATTCGATTTTCTGTCGGTTATTTGTTCTTGCTGCTGTTTTAACGTGGGGGAAAAAACAAGGAGAGGAGAGGAGAAGAGAAAGGCATTTAATTTCATAGCTTATAACTAACATTTTCCTTTTTCTGCATAATAAAATAATAAAAATAAAGAAAATAAATAACGAATTCACTGCCACGTGGGATGTTCGTTCAGACCTGTTGAATATCCTAATAAGCTTCATGACTATCTGTTACCTTAACAACAAAACAATAGCAACACTTCAACACAGAGAGCGACAAAAATATTAACTTTTAAAGAGGAAAACCTATTGAAATAAAATTATTGGAAGATGTATCATTTGTGCATAACTCGGTCATGAGAAATAATTTCCATCGAGAGATATGCCAAATTTGACGTCCAATTTTTATTGTCTGACATCTCAATATATGGAAAAGGAATTATCGTCTTTATCGATAATAGTCTTTGAACAAACAGAAAGATTTCCTATCTTAAGTATTAAGTATTCCATTTAACTTTTACGAAATCTCATTCAAGTTTTACGCTTAAAATAGGTAAGGATTGATACTTCAAACCTCGAAAAATTATTCAGTATTGGTAAACATGCATGTTGACAAAATATTTTCAAAAGGCTTGATTGAAGTAGGATTTTTTCGTGAAATCATAAATAAAGATGTTTGGTGGTAAAATAATTATTTATACAGCTAGACAGGCAAAGGCATTAGCATACATTCAACTTCTGATAGCGGAAATAGAGTCAAAGTAAGTCTTATTTATGAAATCGGAAACGCTGCGAGCGACAATTTCACTCGCTTTTCTCCGTCACAAAAAAGAAAGAAAAAAAGCCTGACATCTTTATTGATTACACTGCTCTATGAAATAGCTAATTTAGTAAGGTAAGTAACTATAAATATTTAAGTCTTGTAGTGCAATTGTTTGGGTTTTATATGTGAGCACTTTCTTCATTTGTTTTGAGCGATTTCATTCAGCACACCTGTTGGAGATGTGTTTGTAGCTTTTAGGTTTTCAAACACAGATTTCAGACAAATCTGTTTTGTTTGCTCCCTTAAAATTGAAAGAATGCATTTTCTTTTGCACGAAATTCTATTTTTTATTCCACAGACTCGGAAATATTCCAAAAGAAAACCACATTACTACATCAAATAATAAACAGAGTTTTGAAGTGCAGAATACACAGACTATCAACAGGTTAAAAATTGAAACTACTGCAACGCATAATAAAACTTTACGTTATTTGAACTTCTTTTTTTTTTTTTTTTTTTTTTTTTTTTTTTTT